TCACAAACCTCTGGACAGTTGCTGATGACATATATTATGAATATATATTTACAGAATATAAATATAAAGTAAAAAAAAAAAAGAGGCACTAAAAACAAGGGATGCTTGGGTGTTGGCCAACCCATAACCTCCACCATGAGTCACAACAGCCCAGGATGAAGATCTCCGAGCACTTTCACTCACAGCAAACAGAGCAACACCTGACCATGGACCAGCCGACAGACACGTTTAATATTTCAACTTAATACTTAATAATTAAAAGCACTATGTGAATCTTTCATGGTGGACATTTACAAGACCACTCCTTCACCACCCTGTTAGTACACAGCTCACAACTTTGCTGAGGCGAGCGCTGACAGAAAAAACAGTCGAAAACCAACAAACAAAAAATAAAATTAGCAGCACTATGCAATAATGGCCAGATTTTATAATAATATATATATATATATATATATACACACACACACACACACACTGTCTTTCAAAAGTTTGGGATCAGTAAGATTTGTAATGTTTTGATTAATGTTAAGATTTGTAAGCGGTTTTGCTGCTTAATATTTTTTGGAATCTGTGATATTTTTTTCAAGATTCTTTAATGAATAAAAAGTTAAAAAGAACAGCATTTATTAAAAATACAAATCTTTCGTAACAATATACACTACCATTCAGAAGCTTGGCAAGGATGTTTTAAATTCTGAAAAGAATCCTGAAAAAAGTATCACAGGTTCCAAAAAATAAAAAATTAAATAAAATAGAATAAAAACACCAGTTTCCAACATTGATAATAAATCAGCATATTAGAATGATTTCTGAAGGATCATGTGACACTGAAGACTGGAGTAATGATGCTGAAAATTCAGTTTTGCATCACAGGAATAAATGATATTTTCAAGAATATTACAATAGAAAACCATTATTTTAAATGGTAATTCTATTTTACAATATTACGTTTTTTCCTGTATTTTTGGTCAAATAAATGCAGCCTTGATGAACAGCCTTTATATCTGTTACAGGCATTTCATCTGTTCCATAAACCATTCTACAAAAGCAACCTTATTGTCCAAAGTGTTGAGATTTTTAGAATGCATTAACTTGTCTTTCATCTACCGGTTAAGATTTACAATAAATATTTGGTATGAACAGAAACGGCAGACAGGCTGAATGAAAATGTAATTCCACTGTCTGCCAGCAGGTGGCACTTATGGAACAGCAGAAATAGAGCTGTTTCCACAGTAACCGCTATAAACAAAGCATTGCTGCACATATAAACACTGCATTATTAGCAGTGGTGGACAGTAACGGAGTAGTTTTACTTCGTTACTGTACTTAAGTAAATTGTTCAAGTATCTGTACTTTACTGGAGTAGTTTTATTTTGAGTAACTTTTACTTTTACTTCACTAAATTCCAAAGCATAAGATCGTACTTTTTACTTCACTACATTTCATAAAACATATCGTTACTCCTTATAATATATCACGTGCTCCGACACGCAGAAGCGGTGTCTGATTCAAGAACGAACTGATTCTTTTCAATGAACCTTTTAAAATCGGTTCGCAAATCGCACCAAACGATTCATTCACGAATTAGAATGAACCGATTGCAGCTGTTCTCGAGTCGACAACTCACTGATTCAAATGATCCGTTTAGTGCGAGTCTCCAGTGAACTGAATTCACAAGTAAGAAC